GGGGGCTGTATCCAGCTGTTGGAGGGGGGGCCTGCCTGGCATGCTGAGGGTGGGGGGGGGTCAGGGCACAAAGCCAAGGCCTTTGGGGCCTTCCTGCTGTTCCCCGCTGTGTTGGCGCGTCTCCCCAGCCAGCCGCACCGGGGCAAGCCCGGGCCGGCGCGGGGCCGGGGGGCTGCAGCGGTCGGAGCGACCCGTTCCCAACACCCCGAGCTGGTTTCCTGCCTTGCAGGCTCCCCCCGAGCTTGGGCGCATTGGAGGGAGGGGGCGGGTGGGGGCAGCAGCGTCCCTGCCCCAGGAGCCCCTCCATGGGTCCCCCTTCTGCACGGTGCAGAGAAGACAGATCCAGTGCTGGAGGCAGGAAGGGGGTGCCAGCCGGAGGGAGCGGGGCCTGCCCAGCGCCAGGCCTGTCACCCACCTGGGGAATGAGGAACTGGTTTAAGGAGCAGCTCAGGCTGGTCTGGTGGCACCAGGGAAGCGACGCTGGGCAGAGACACCCCCAGCTCCTTCCTGGGGTCCCCGGTGCTTGCACGGTCCTGGGGGTGCCGGCCCCGGTCCCCTGAAGGTCAGACCCTTCCTTCTGCCCCCATGCTTTGCTTTTCCCCTTGATGGCATCCCGCCCCTCTGCCACTGCCCTCCCATGACCCTGCGTGAGATGAGTCACTTGGCATCGCGTGCGGATGGCTGACGGCAAACCCAGCCCAAAACTACCATGCTGTTTGCCTCGGGAAGTTCCTGGTCCGGGCACAATGACAGGCATTGTCTTTTGGAGCCGGGCATTGACGTTGCGGGGGGTACTGTATCTATTCGCACACCCCGCGCCGGACTTGGAGAGCCGCTGCTCTCTCTGTCCTGCCCGGCCAGGCCTCTCTGCTGGGTCCCCATCCTTGGCTCAGGTTGTGAGGGACCCTCGGGGTCATCTGCTCCAGCCCCTGGCAATCCCTCCCTCAATCATTTGGCTCCTTTCATCTGAGCTCTGGGGCTGGTTGCCACCTGCTTTATTCCCTGCGGAAATTTTGGGCCAGATCTTGTAAAAACGGTACCTGATGGTTGAACATCTGGGAGAGGAGAGGTACGTGCTTCCCTTCCCACCGCCCGGTTCAAAGGGAAACCTTGGAAAGAGCAGATCGGTCAGCCCCAACCCGGCGTTTTCCCCCCCTGAAAGCTGAAAAGAAAAATGCACCTGAAAACTGAAACCCGAGTCATTTTCCTGGGAGACCTGCCAGCCCTTTCCAGCTTCTCCACAAGTCCCCCCCCGCAAAAATTCCCGAGGGAAGTCGACGCTTTCTAGGACTTGAGCTTTCCTTTGTTTCTCAGCTCCGGTTTGTCGTGAAAAGGAGTTTTGGGAGCAAGCGCTCACGGCTGGCAGCCTGGCAGCCCTTCACAGAGAGGGAAACTGAGGCATGACACGCATAAGGGGCTTCCCCAGGGTCAGGCTGGGCCTCTGGCCTTGCGTGCACTGGAAGGGGTTTGCTGCTGGCACTGGACCGGTGCAAACGTGCAGGCTGGCCCTTCAAGGAGAAATCACCGTTCACCGGTGTCTTGCTATAGCCAGATCCCCAAATGCAAGCGGTGATGGGGGTGATGCCTCTCCACGGGGGGTTTTGCCTGTAGAAAACTTGTGCAAAGAAACCCCCTCTCCTGATCGTGCTGTATGAATCCCAGCCTCCGTGTCAGAATCAGCGTCTCCGTCTCCTGGACCGTCTCCGTCCTGGCCGTCGGCACGTCCCCAGCTGGTGCAGAGCTGCCCGGGCTAACGTGGGTGCTACCTGGAGCCCAGCGAGCTGCAGATGCACCCCAGGAGCCAGGTGGGCGCGTCCACATGTGATACAGTCCCACCCCAGCCCGTGGGCAGCACGCGGGAGGGTGCTGTGGTTTGCTATGGGGTCCAGAAGGACCCGGTGCTCTCCACACTGCCCTGCTCCTTGCCCCCAGAGAGCTGGTGTGAGGCTGGCTCGGGGCTTGGCAGTCCTGGCAGTGACACCCGGTAGCTGGGAGTGTCTCGTCTGCCCCAGGCAGTCCAGCCCTTCCCTGCCAGGTGCCCTGAGGAAACCCCGCCTCTGCAACATGAAGTGAACCAGGACATGGAGGCAAACAGGCGAGGGCTGGGCGCCGCGGGGCTCCGGCACAGATGCAGCAGGGGACGCGGCGGGGGTGCTAGCCTGGGGCGCCCGGGACCGTGGTGGCTGGTTCTGCTGCTGAGCTGGGCCGTGCCCGGCAGCGTCCGGGGTGAGTGTCAGCAGGGACACCTGTCTCTGCTCCCGGAGCGGGGCGGTGGTTGCCCCACATCCGCCCGCTTTGTGTTCTGGCCTCGCTGGAGCGATCTAGGATGCAACACCCCTCTTTGCAGGGTGAGGACCAGACCCACCGAGAAGGGCAGACCCGCACAGACGAGTCCGCTTGGGCAGGGACCTCGCCGTCCC